GGCACGGGGAGGAGCAGCGGCCATCGGTCCTCCCTCGAGGGAGCGGGGCCTGCGCCGCCGAAAGCGGACTCTACAGGCACCTAGGACGGAGGGGCGTGGTAATGGGCGGGATCAGAGCTCTGGACCGACAGAGACAGGAACCGGCGGCGAAAGGGGTGGAACCGGAAGGCAGTGTCGGCCCAGGATTGGACTTTAGTTGGTTGCGGGTGATTGCAGGGCACGCCCTACGGGGTGGAGGTGGGGCGAGGGCGTGGCTCAGAGCCCGATTGCTCGTGGTTCCTAAGGTTTGTAGAACGAAGGGGGAAGAAATCTCAGGAAAAACCTGGTGCACTGGCTCACCTGTAATCCAGCACTTGGGAGGCTGCTTGCGCCGTCATTGCCCAGCTGTTATTCTTAGTTATATTTTTTGTTTATTTGTGTGTGGGTAAATGCATGAAACAGCACATGTGTGGAGGTCAGAGGGCAATTCACAAGAGCCGCTTCTCTTCCTCCACCATTGTAGATCCCGTAAATCTCCGGGCATTAGGTTTGCACAGGTGCCTTTACCCATTGAGCCATCTCAGTGGATTAGGCACATTAAATGCATTTGATGTAGGTTTGAGCACGAGGGTTAAGGAAAACAGAGGAGCCATTTATTAGAAGGCTCAGGACTCAGCTTTCCGTTTTCCTCATGGCTGCCCAGACTAACCACAGGCCTCTGGCCCTGAGGAGGACACGGCCTACATAGCTCCATGTGAAAGACTGTTGCAGGAGAGGTTGACCCGCCAAGAAACAAAGGGTGAATAAAGGAAAGATGTCCCGCGCTCGGCCTCGCCAGCAAGAACAACGCGGGGCACTTAGGATCCTTCTGCAGTAAAGCTTTAATGCCCCTTGGGAGAGCGAGCATCAGCCAACATGGCGGAGACCCAGAATGAGGGGAACCCAGCCCTTATAAAGGAAACAGTCCTCGCTTCTGACGTGGCACTCTTGGATTGGTCCGCTGCCCATTATCCCAGATGATGCCTCGGGAGTAGGCAGGGACGCAGCGGGAGAGAGTTAACAAGCACGTGCGCTGTGATTAAAGGCGTGTGCTATTATCACCTTGAACTCACAGAGACCTGCCTGTCTCTGCTTCCCAGGCATAGGGACCAAAGGCGTGTACTACCACGCCTTGAGGTCACAGAGGTCAATCTGCCTCTGTCTCCCAGGCATTGGGACTAAAGGCGTGTACCGCCACACCTTGGGGTCACAGAGGTCAATCTCTACCTTTGTCCCTTGAAGCAATGGAGAATGTGGTTGCGGCCCTCCACAGAAAGAGACCACCATGTGACAAGAACCTGACCCAATCTGTGGGCTCTAGGGACTGACAGTTATTGACAGTTTTTCAGCATTCTCAGGTCAGATCCAAAAAGTGCCCAGGTTCTCAGTCTGGCCTTCCTGATTATTTTGTCATCCTCAAACTTGTCCACAAGACTCCATGGGCTAAGCCCGGCAGTGGTGGCAGACGCCTTTAATCTCAGCATTAGGGAGGCAGAGGCAGGAAGATCTCTGTGAGTTTGAGGCCAGCCTGGTCTACAAGAGCTAGTTCCAGGACAGGCTCCAAACTACAGAGAAATCCTGTCTTGAAACCCCCCCCCAAAACAAAACAAAACAAAACAAACAAACAAACCCAAAAAAACCAAGTGTCCAGGCTGGAGTATGTTGTCTTTCCTGATTGCAGATGTCTTGAGTAAGGACCATGAAGCCATGAATTTTCCCCCAAAGAATCCAGAGAAGCAGTGAGGTAGTCATGGGACTGCTGGCTGGAGATGGTGGTCTATGGTCATGGTCATTTTCATAATGCTGGTGGATCTGATGCACCGGTGCCCATGCTGGACTGCCCGCTACCCGCCAGGCCCCGTGCCATTGCCTGAATGGTGCATCCTGCTGCAAGCGGACCTCGAGAATATGTTGCCCAGTTTGTACGAGGTGAGGGATATGATGGTGGAGGGCAGCCGAGGTATGGTGCGCCTAGCTGCCCGTGGTGCTGAAACCACAGGCGTTCAAGAGGAACGGTTAAGGTTGCAGTGCTTCCTGAGGGAGGGCACTGCAGGCCTGAGGACACTCAGCCTTCCAAGGACGAAAACATGGCAACATGATGGCAGGAAGCTGGTGCAGGATGTGACAGCACGTTTGGGGTTAGTCAGATAGAGCAGAAGTCATGGAGGCCCCAAGTCCCTTATGATCCTCTCAGTGAATGAAGCGTCAGGGGTGTGGGAGAGGGATGAGGGTATAGAACAGCATGGTAGTCAAGAAACCAAGAGGAGAGAGGTGCTGTGGTTGCTGTGTGGTCTCAAGATCACTGCTGACCCCCAGGAACCAGAGATTCCTCATGTATGATGGGATGC